TGATATCTAACGAAATATACCAAAAGTGAAAACGAATGCCGCGCTGGGAAAGGACCACATGTTTGAAATGTAAACAAAGCCAAGCTGAGATTTTACACTGTGTATCATTTTCTCATACCGTGAGAGATCCGTTCGTCTACTGGTTGCATACACTTGCTCATACGTTTTAGAACATGCAAACTAACGCACAACGTTCACGACACTTCCCCTCATTTCTGACTATTTCCATTTGTCACAATGAAAACGAAAAGAAAATAACAACCAGCAGATTGTCAGAATGTTTCGCACTATTTACATAACACATTTATGCATATACGTTGCTTGAAACAACGAAAGTTTACTTCCAAATATCCGGTGTACTCGTGTCGGTGAACACGCCTTTTTGTGAAAGTCGCTTCCCGATAGTGATGTCATATGTACGTCAACATTGTCATACATATTTGGTATTTTCACTGAGATGAGGTTTATGGATGAAAATACACATGATCAATCTATCCTGCTGCTTACATTTTCAATACTTCTTTCGTATTTTACACTTTTTTCCACTTGATTAGTTTCAGTATTAATATCTTTTGCTTTGGGACGAGACGGGAAACCAGGCTAAATCAACTGAAACCAGTTAAGTCATAACCAATGGGGGTAACTCTGGCCTGTTTCAGATCGACAAACAAAGGCCTCAAAACGGCATAACATTTCAGCACTTATATTGAGGGTTATACCTTCATTGTAAGAAAAATGAGTGTATATTTTCAAGTATTGATATTAACTAATTCAAAATTGTTTCTCATAAGGGAAAACTGTGATTTTTATTGTACACTTCCCTGAAAGATCTTATCTAGTGACCTATACGTATGTGTGTATGTGTGCGTACGTGATTGTCTCTCTGTCTGTGTATCTCTCTGATGCTATTGCGTGCGTGCGTGCGTGTGCGTGTGCTGATTGTATTACTCTGAACTTGGCCTGTCGAGATACCATGCCAGGTCCTAATTTAACCCTTTTCTGCTGAGAGGCTGCTAGGCTGAAATGGATACACCTCATAGCGTGTTTTGGGGTCCAACAACGGTCCTTCCACTCTATGGGTCCTCACCACACCACAGAGGTTGTCGCTCGTTTGCTCCCCACCCAAAATATATGGACCTTTTACTGTACAGATGAAACTCCATACGGCGCACACGTGTGCATTAGCTGCCCAAAACATATTCGACGTGCATCATGGAAACAGTGACAATCACATTTAGTTCTGTTCTATTTCCTACAGTAATATCTTCTATAAAAATGGGATACCGTTTCTTTTCCCTAACGTTATAATTTTCCTCGAGTCACGCTTAGTCGTGAAAGATGAAATAGGAAACGGAATCATTACATTGTCAATATTCTACATCCGTCCATGTGATTTGTTTCTACTATTTTCATTGTTTCGGTCTAAATTTCCTGGTGAACTGTGTAAGCACAGTTGCGTGACTGCACCAACGTTGGGTTACGCCTCCGTCAACGACATTACAGCTGTACATGTATTAGGGTCGCCTGTAATAGATGAGTCTAGGCAGTGGTTCACAGCATGAGCATGTACACACATTGTCAGGGTACGATAATTCACTGCAAACTGTGCCATCACATCGACTGGTCCTCATTTTCGTTGCCTCTTTATGTCAAAGGGGGCGAGGGGTAACCCCTCAATTTCTTTTTATACATTTCAGATCACTATTTAAACTAACTGGTTCCAGATCAATATTTTTCCAAATAAGAATCAGATCATTATACATAAATCGGATTCAGATCACTATTATAAAAATTGAATTCAGATTATTATTTGTATTAAATGGATTCTGACCCCTGTTTACACAAATACGGGTTCAGATTACTATTTATCCAAATAGGATGCATGTATCTATTCAGATTAATAATATACAAATCGGACCGAGATCAATATTTATCCAATCAGTTTTCAGGTCAATACTCATATAAATCGGATTCTGATCCCTATTTGTACAAATGGGATTCAGATCACTATTTATACAATTCGGATTCAGATCACTATTTGTACAAATCGGATTCTCTGCACTGTATATTCATGATGGATTCAGGTCATTATTTATACAAATCTGATTCAGATTAGTACTGATACAAATCAAATTCAGATAACCATTTAGAAAAATCGGATTCCAATCAATTATTCATACGAATCGGATTCAGACCAATTATACAATATATACACAAATCGGATTTAGATCACTATTCATACAAATAGGATTCAGATCACTATTTGTGCAAATCGGATTCTGATCTCTATTTATACACGTCAAGATTCACATCACTATTTGTACAAATCGGATTCAGTGAGTTTTCCTTTAGTCGTGATCTCCATAACGTATATGTGATACGTTTGCTTGGGTCAACACTGAGAACGTGTTTTGCCAATGCTGCAGATTAAATTGATCTTTTACAAGCGCTTCATGAAGACACCGATCACAGTCGTCAAATCGTTCGGTAATAAGGCGCAAAGCTGTTTGTTAAACACGCACCGTCAGTTGACTCTAAATCGAGGTATTATTTGAAATAATGATGAACTGTATATTTAATTATTGTTCATCATTGCTCTAATGGTGAAAGTTGGCGAATAATAGTCATAGTCAATGCAAGAACGTCTAACAAAGATCTTGCATTGGTCGCATTTCCGCTAAGAAGACATTGACACAGGTAGATCTGCAAACTAACACGGTCAAGGACCATCTGAAGGGCATCGTGTGACTGTAGTACGTAAAAGACCAACACACGATGGAGCAGTATTTCCCAAAGTTACTTACCTTAGCAAATGAACGTTTTATCCGGCGGCCATATGAACAACGTTTGTCGTTTTCACGTTTCACACCGAGGGGTGACAAACGGCTGCTGGAACAGCGCCGGCCGTATCCTGGCTTGTAGGGGGCTGTGCTGAGTTGCACCTGAAGTGAGTGCCGGCGCTGTTCCACCAGCCGTTTGTCACCCCTCGGTACGAAGCGAGAAAATAGAACAATGTTACATGATAGTTTCTTAAACAACTTTTTCTGTGATAGATCATAAAACGTCAGATTTCAGATCCTGTTGGGTAGGGAGGCTTCAGGGCCATGTGGGTTATTTATGTTCTGTGCACTTATCCCTATTTCGAGTCCCTATTTTAATCATTCATCGTTCTCATTTCGTATCTAAACGGACTGCACGTATCATCTGGCTGTCAGATTTACACAGGTTCAAGGGGTGCAAATATAATATACATTCATCTCTGCATTTACATGTGTTTCACAGGTGTGTAAATCTAACCATTGTTTTCATGTGTTTTCTAGCACGCGTAACAAACGTAAAAGCTGTGAATGAAGGACATGGATTTCAAAAATACCCTTGAAATCTCGTATGACTAGGGTTAGTTTGATATATATTGCATACTTGCGTAAATATGTGTTAATGCGAGCTAATGGCACACTAATTTAACACGTATTTCAATGGTTCGATAATATAGCTGTCACATCGGGTTCGTTAGCGTATCCGACCAGGACATAACACTTATGTCCTCTGTCATTTACACTGACACATATACTTATGTGCACTATCAAGTACACTTACTACGTACAATATCGTGTACACTTCAGTACTCTTTCATATACAGTTCACTGTCAAACCTGAAGCTCTAAGCTCACAACTTCTTGGTGAAGCTCACATTAAGTGTAAGATAATGATTGATTATTGAGAATGACAAAATAAATATAAAGAATTAGCTCTTCTTCGTGAAATAATGTTTTCATGTTATTCTGGAGTCGGGAATTCTTTCAAATGACCAAAGAAGCAGTTATTGAATTGTGCTCATGTCATAGGTGCTGACTCCAAACTACAATGCTGACTGGCTGGATGAAAGTGAACCCCTTATCACTGAACCACCCCAAGAAGGAGGGAGAAGCCAGGGAGGGGTTGGGAGGCAGGAAGGTCACCTGCAGAGAAGAAACCCGAGGGGGACGTCTGTTGACAAGCCATCACAACCGTCTCAGCTTGCTCCTGCTGCGGATGAAGTGATTCCACCTGCGTCCAGTTCCGTGGATGCCAAGAGTAGTCTCCGACAGAGAAAGGCACCAGCCATGCAGCAGAAGTGAGTTGTCTGAGATCAAGGCATCTTGTATCTGTCCAGTTACCTCTCCAACTGAAGTGTAGCTTTGTATTATTGATAGGGGTGACTATTGAGGGGAACAACTATTGCGATAGCAATAGTCTATTGCAAGGTACTATTGCGATAGCGATAGTCTATTGCGATCAACTATTGCAATACTATTGCAATAGTTTTTTCTCCTTGAATTGTCTCATTTGAAGTCATTTCCCAAATGAATGTTTAGTTTATATGTAATATAAACAAGCTGAAGTAGTTTCAGTCTCTTTTAATAACTGACAAACAACTTTAAATCCAGATCAAGTTTGTTTAAGAGGTAACAGGGGTGGATAACTCTAAATCAAAGTGCCCAAATCTGGTACTTCCTGTATTTTGCACTGCGCATTTATCAACAGAAGTCAGTTACTAAACTATCAATAGTCACACATACTATAAAAATCCTGAAACAACCAACTGGTGTTAAAGAACTTTCCCATTATGTGTTCACTAGTACGAAGACATATTTTGAGTGCCATTTGACAGTGTCAGATCTGACAGCCAGTCACTCTGGTATGGCAATTCAAAATTTGAACAAGATCAGTTATAACATTAGAAGCTGTTGATGTCATATGACAAAGTATGACATTGTGATCTCCATGCACTTCAACAAGTTTTCACAGATGTTGCCTGGCCGATCAAATATCTGATATTGATATTTTTGCTAATTGTTTTGATGAGTAGGTCTTGCTAGCTACCTTGACTGCATTGTTTTGTTAAGTGGAATCCTAACATTCGTGGACCATAGATTCAAAGAGCTGTTTGTTCAGGTAAAACCCAATTTTTATTGAGCATTTATTGTATTGTGTCATGACAGAGTTGTGGATACAAGGGGGAGTTTAAAATGGACGTATCCAGATGACGTTCCGTTACAGCCCCCAGAGACAAACCCTCATCATCGTCGTGCACAAATGCGTGTAAGTAGACCAGACTTCTTCCTTAGATGTCATTCAATATACAAGTTCTTAACACATAGAATCATATAGAAGGACATGGTCATTTATGATATTGATGAAACTGTGAATACACAAGGTCTTTTCAGAAATAACGTTTGTTCAATAAAGTACAGATTCTAGTACTTTTTTGGTTGAGTACAGTCCAGGATTTGAACCCACACTCTCAGAGTCAGGCACCAAATCACCAGCACACAAAGGCAGCTACCCAACTCACCCAGCCACTGCGGCTTCCACAATAATTGAAGCCTGACAACTAACAGCCTGGATCACATGCTTTGTATGGTCTTCTGACATGTGGACATTGGCAGAGTTAACATATGTAACCTTTGGGATTACACTTTCTCAGTTAGGTACAGATTCTGGATCTTGGGGATTGAGTCCCATCCGATTTTCAAACCCGCACTCTATAAGGTTCTCACCACTTGCTGACTTGAAATCACATCAAAGCACATTGTAGCATGGAGCTAAACTTATTGACTGAACAGTCACAAAATTAAGAAATACCTCTTGTTTTATTATTACAGAAACCTGCGACCTTTCGACAGCAACAACCTGTCTGACCCCTATGTGCGTATGTACCTTTTGCCTGAGAAATCCAGCTCCACGCGGAGAAAGACGCAGGTTATCAAAGACAACCTGAACCCTGTATTTGATGAGACGTGAGTTAACTGTGACATGTTCCTTATATGCATTCTTACTTCTGTCATATTTACAGTAATATTATTGTCCTTCTGAGAGTGTACGTTAGTCCCAAAACTCGAAGTAAAAATAAAATTTACCATATATTTAACGTAGTATCTTTGTTCTTTCAACTGCCGACTAAATTTTCCTACAATCGCCAGCGGCTGAACGGATGGTTTAAATCCAGCTAGGGTCCATGCAGGTAGCAAATGTACTGTAAGTCCCCATGGTCCCTAGTATGGTGATCTACCTTCAGTTGTTGGCGATCTATAGCCCATTTTTTACATTGTATTGTCTAGACTACTTTTAAAGATATATGCTAGCTAATCTTTTAACTCAATCTGTGATAATCTAGTGTTTTCTATATTATATGTATGTTATAGTCACGATATATGTCACGATATGAAATATTGCCGATGTGACTTTAAATCTTAACTCACTCACGCACTCTGTCATATTTTGATATGATGATCTTACAAATAACTTTGAACAGTTTTGGTCATATCAATACAAATATACAAATATACAAGGCTTGTTGAGACATATTGTGCTTTTATTCTGATGCTTAATATTATGAGTAATTACCTCACACACTGATTTGGTATCCATGTATTTGAATAACTACTCATATCTGGGCTAGACAAACTGATGCTTAATATTATGAGCAGCCTCACACACTGATATATATGTTGAATACAAGGAAGCTGATCCTTTCCTTAAAAGGAACCTTTTATAATATGGACCCATGAAGGTCCGGTTTACAATATTGATCTTCAGTAACCCATGCCTAGCGAAAGAGGCAACTAACGTGATCGGATGGTCAGGCTCGCTGACTTGGTTGACATTATGTCATTGGTTCCCAATTGCGCAGATCGATGCTCATGCTGTTGATCACTGGATTGTCTGGTCCAGACTCGATTATTTACAGACCGCCACCACATAGCTGGAATATTGTTGAGTGTGGCGTAAAACTAGACTCTCTCACTCACTAATATGGGTCCTGAGTTTAACTCTTTAAAACAGAAAAAGTTCAAGAATGTAAATAAGTTGACAGACAGTGCTTCCAGCAACTACATTGCAACTGAGAACGAAAAACATTATGCCTCGTTTTAGAGTAGTTTTATGTTAAGCCTGTGTCCCTTCCGATCTTTTTCCATCATTATTGAAAGGTGTACACTGACCTGAAACTTTCACTCATTTGCTAGGAAACTGTTTTTCTGTTTTAGGTTTGAGTATCCAATTAGTCCGTCCGAGCTGCCAAATAGGTCGCTGGAGGTCTGCGTGAAGAATGAAGTTGGGGTGTTCTCCTCCAGCAAGAAGATCATGGGTGTCGTCAACCTTGACCTTAACAACCTGGATACGTCCAAGGCAATTACAGAGTGGTGAGTTACCTCCCTTTAACAAACTCTCCAATCTCGAAATACCAAACCTAATCTGGTTTGAGTGTGGATCTGGACTTAACATAATCAGGTCCAAGAGTGGATCTTGGCTAAAACTGTGTTTGACTTGCTCTGGTACCAGTGAGGATCTTAGTTGGAGTATGGACGAAAGCAAGCTAAACTGCTGCTAGCCTACATATAATAATCTGGAGCGGTACCTAATCTTGAGGAAGGCACCTTTTGTTTGGGTTCTAAATATCTCATTCATGAAGGCTCTTGTGTAGGCTCAGCTCAAGCTTCAGTGCATCCACCTCCATGTCAGGTGGTAGAGTACAGAAAGCAGAGTGCCTGTAGAGCAGAATGTCAGTGAGAATAGTAAGATTTATGGATGTCAATTCTTTATTGTGAATAACACGATGTTTCGGAGTGTATGCTTGCTCCTTCCACCAAAGGAATATATAAGGTGACGCTTAGCATTAACGAGATGAAACAAGACTGGTCAGCTTGTTGTCAGTGTAATGTGTCTGAGACGGCCATCCATGTTAAACGGTGGTATATTATCACCATAATACCAGCAAAGCACACAAAACACATGTATCATCATCCCAGTATAACTGCAATAACCTTCAAACCCACTTCGTCTTACATCATCTAGCTGGGGCAGGGTAGCCTAGTGGTTAAACCGTTCGCTCGTCACATGGGTACAATGTGTGAAGCCCATTTCTGGTGTCACCCGCCGTGATATTGCTCAAAGCGACATAAAACCATTCTCACTCACTCACTCATCTTGCTCAGTGTTCTTTGGGAAGTTGGGTTGGTTACGAGGGACACTTCCACGGTTGTGATAATTGAGTTTAGTTTCGTCCCAGTGAAGTACTGTGTAGAGTGGAAAGCTTCTTTGCAATATCATCTTCATTGAGCTGTAGTATCCCTAACTAAGAATGTTGCCTAAAACTGATTGTTTCTTCAAATGATTGGATAGTGATATGACAGAGTGTAAAGGATACTATGGCGAGTGTGTGATCATTATGCGAACTATATCACAGCAGGGGAAACCAGGAACATTGAACGTTTCACAGAATCGAACCAAGAGTTTCAATACAATATTTGAATGTCTTAATTGTGAGGCATAGTATTCCAGTAACACTGGACTTTATCAGTCCATGTTCACAAGATAATAGTGTTTGATCCCTGTGCCTGTTTATCAGTGAATGATATTTTCCTCAATACTTCTCTGTAAAGGATTAGTTTGCAGCAGATGTCAGGTGGCAGGATTGTGAAGTACCTACATCAGTTGAATCTGTAGTGGTAAACCATTAACAGTCCATGTTCACAAGGTAATAGTGTTTGATCCCTGTGTTTTCTTGTGTCTTCAGGTTTGACTTGCGCCCCGAGGACAACACAGAGAAGATTTCCCTGGTGGAGTCTGACGTGTGACTTTGCAATACAGTGAAGTAAGGTGCTGAGGTGACATTTCTTTACTTGGTTCACAGATCTGACTCACAATCAGGAGTAAATTCGATTGAGAGATCAAAAAGTCATTCAAAAATAAATTGCGATGAAAAATATAAAGTGACAAAATCTGTAAACCAAGTGAACCTGTCTGAGTTGAATACTCAGTAGTGAACAACGTGCTGTCATCAGTCTGTCCAGTACTGCTACTGCTTACAATGCTCCACGACTCTAAGTGTCGGTAGTCTAGCTGCACAGGTCTTCTATGTGACCTGTTTATCAATGAATGGTATTTTCCTGAAGACTTTTGTGTAAAGGATTAGTATCGAGCAGATGGCAGGATTGTTATGTACCTGCATCAGTTGAATCTGTGGTGTAGAACCATACATGCAGGTCAACAGCTGGTGACAGGTCGACCTGTTGGGATGTAACTGCTGCAGTAGGTATACGGTATTCAGTAGTGCTGCCATCTTGTATAATGTGCATAGAATGTTCACCATCATATTTCATCTGCAATTTAGATCTGTATGATGTTAGACTTTATGTCTATTTTTCTGTCATTGTCCATTTTCTATGATGCTGGGTGTCCAGTTAATAATTAACAAGTCATGCATCTATCTACATTATCTATGATGTTACGTCCATGCTGGACCATCATGCTATATATATACTCACCTGTATATCAATATCTGGTCCTCCATGTCAGCATAATCTGGTTTGTATTGTCCATCTTTTTACGATTCTTGCTCCTCTTGAACTTCATCAGCATTATTTTTAACAAATTTAATTTTTACTTAATCAGGTTTCAGTGATTCTTTTTTTGTCAGCATGACCATCACATGGTTTAGAGGGTATTTGTGGCTTGGCTGTGTAAGGTTTAGAAATTCAGAGTTGTGTCCCTTTAGGCATGCCGGAAACTAATGATCATGGGTTCAAATCCCTTGTTTACCATGGTTATTTGTCCAGGTTTGTCAGCACAATGCTAGGCTTGTTGATTTCATCAAAGTCCTATCTGTCAGAGACCTACATTACTTTAGGCTTCCTTCGTCATGAGTCCTGATATAACGTAAAGCTGAAATACTGTTTGAAGCTGCAGTAAAATCCAACTCCCTCAGTGGATTTGAGGTGTGCCTGAACACGAGGCCCATTTGTCCATGAGAACGTAGTGCTATGACTACCAAGTTTGGAGGCATGTTATTCTCAGAGGTCACAAGAACATGAGAGGTATGCATTCTCTGTATCTTCAGGGCTTGTGTTTCCAGTAAACCTACAGTAATGACTGGATCCATGTTGAATGGATCCATATCGCCTGGATCCATATCGACCATTCAGCATTGACACTGCCTTGCAACTCATGGTGATTGACAGTCAGACTGAGCAGTTTAGCAAATCAATTTTTTAATTACAAATCAAGGGCGGTTAATTTGAAATCACAGGATGGATGGAGGGGCTAGTGTACGTTTAATGGGAACCCTTGAGATACAGAGAAAGGTGCTGGTGTTCTGTGTCACTGCTAACTGTATATGAGGTGGTTGTTAGTGTGCTCCTATCCCTATTGTGTTGTTCTTGTAATATGTAGGTTGTGATGATGTAGAGACTAGGCGTTCTGCAGCTGACATCACGTGGTGCATCCTTAATGTCTTTCATCCTGTAACATCAATGTTCCATCCTGTATGCTATATATGCAAACTGTGCCATTGTCCATTCAGGTACTCTATATTTTCGATGAAATATACTTAATATGAATGTCTATAAACAAAAAACGTTACTCATAATATTTTGCAAATACTGAAATATCAAAATGATATTTTTTCTGATAAATGATGGTTATGTGAATTGTGTTAATTCATTAATATGAAATATCTTAAGTGTCTAGGAAATTGTATAACTCAATGAATAAACTCAAAGATTGCATGTTGTGGAAATTCCTGAGTCTACATGAAATTGTAGTTAAGATTTAATAATCCTGACTGCACTATTACATTGCTTGGTAAGTTATTCTTAACTCAGCAGCTCATACAGCAAGGTTTGAGACTTGACAATTGTCTTCCTTTTCAGGAATAAAGAGTCTATTTTTACATTTGTGAAACAATATAAAATTTAGTTTTCAAGTGATTTTGTAATGGATTTTTTCTTTTTTTTTCTTAATTATTTCAGTAGCTTTTAAGAAAAGTAGACACGCATATATATTTCTCTTCCAATCCTACTGGTACAGGTTATCAGATACTATTTCTGTGATCTCATGCAACATATCACTGCTTAGCTGCAGAAACAACTGTGTAGTACTTAATGGTGATAAAATAACATAACTCACAGAAGGTGAGATTGTGCTATAACAGATGTTATTACCCAGTTTATTTATTAGCTATTGTCCATATACACCTGCTTGAGTAATGTATCATGTGTTGGTTTGCTGGATTGTTCATGCCTGTTAGTGGTTATAGTGTTACAGTGACAGGGATAATTCTTTGTTGGGATATTGATCTGCCTAAAAAGTCCAGTAGGTCCTTTTTTCAAATGGAGTGCCTAATGAAAACTTCATGAGACATTACCATAACTGATCAGTTGGTATACTTCCAGCATAAGAAAACTTATTAAAATTAAGCAATGCTCGAGATTAAATGAAACTGACTTTTCATTCTTGGAATTCTCCCTGTCAGTTGTATTCCTTTGAATATATTATGCTTGTCTGAGGATATTAGTATGCTAGAACTGTTATATCTATTAGCTATATCTGTATGCACATGTTGTAATGGCTTAAAAGCTGTGGTTTGTGTTCTTTCATAGCCTGGGCTGAGAACATAAATCAATGATGAGTTCGACAACTGGGTTGCCTTTATGTCACATAGTGTATAATGTATTTGGATCTGTTCCAGTGTAAATGCTCAGCATAATGCAAGCTGTCTTGATTGGTTAAATCATTTCCATACATGATTGCACGACATGTCAATTTGTTTAATACGTATGTACAGGGTTGCATTTACATCGATATTTGAAAATACCTCATACACAGTGCGAGAAAACGAAATTAACAACCTTGTGAAAATAGTTTGGCGGG